TTTTCTTTTTGATATAAATTATTGGTGTATTCGTTATAATAATTAATTAATTAAATAAATAACAATTATTAATTATAATTTAATTATTATTGAAATTATTGTTAAAACATTACCCATATTTAATATCGCATTTATGTACATCAATTTACTAATTAATGATGTAAAATAATCTATGTATCTACATTATATTTTTTTAATATACTGGAGGCACAAATCATTGTGCATCATGTTAAATATTTAAAATAAGTTGTTTTCAAAAATTATTATTTTTAAACAAAATGTAAAATTACAAACAAAAACAAATGCTAAACATAGATATTAAACAATGGTTAAAAACAAACATTCATCGACAATAACATCTATTTTATTAATAATATTTTAAAAATCAAGTATCAATACAAATATTTGAGTTGATAAAGTGTTTAATATTACATTGATTTTTGAAATTGATTTTAAATATACTGTTGATTATTCACACATTAAAATTATTTTGTTTTAATATCGTTCTAAAATTTTGCTATTACATCGGTTATGATTTCATTTTTTGACTATAGTCAGTATATAACGTTATGTGTTCAGAAATATTATCTTATTTTAATTAAATAGTCGTATTTAAGTTTAAAATAATGAAAATTGGGTAAAAACTCAAAAATGTGAAAAACTAAAAGAATTCAATGGGTTTTTAAAATAATTTGCAGAAATTATCCATTCAGTTTAGTCCAAAAGATACTGGCTAATTTTAAAGCAAATAACTTTGTTAGAGTGACTATAGTATCAAAGTTCATGTTCATATTTATTTGTATTTTGTGTTTTCAAAGTGTAAATTCAAACAAATTGTTTACTCTTAAACTGACTTTTGTTTAGTCATATTTGATGTAATTGATTTTTGATACAACAAAAAATATTCTATTGTTTAAAACTGTTTTGGTGTCTAGTGGTGATGATATAACATAAATATAACTTATGTCCTTTATAAAATCGTTGTTGTTGTAAATGAAAAGACAAAATTGATAAACATAATATCAATATTTATACACAGTTTTAAATTAAAAACAACTGAAAGCAATAATTAACACCAAATTGATTAACATCATTTAAATGAATATAAAAACAATTAAAATAAAATAACACAAAATGATATATTTTAATTATTGTTAAATGTAATAAGTTAAAATATCATTATTATTTGAGGTTTGATAAATAATCAAATTGGAAAATAAATATTATTTGTAAATGTCACATTTTTCTTTGTATTATTTAAAAATAATATACCGATTAGTACATTAAACATATTAACAAAATGTAAATTATCATGTGCAAATATCTCAAAAAATATTTGTTACACAAATTGTAATTAATTGAGAAAATTTTAATCTATATTCCAAAGACAAAACAAAAAAGTTACAAACATTAAATAATGACACTTACTATTACAACTCACACCCAATTAATATGATGATAAATAATTGTCTTCACATATCATAAACCAAAATTTGTGATTACTTCGAAGTTAACTTTTTAATTTATTTCCTGTTGTTCACTATGTGATTTCAAACTTTATATGTTGTATACTTATCAATTTATTATATACAAGTTACAAAATCAAAAAAAACGCACATTTTGTATGTATTTTGATACTGTCTTTTTTGTTCATACATTTTAATTATGTTGTTAATTTATTGAATTTGAGTTTTGTTGTTTTCAAATTTGTTATAAAATTTACAACTTAATCAATATCAAGTTAGTCTTATTTTGTAAAATATAAAACAATTCCAATGTTATTTAAAATTCTACTTCATAAAATAAAAATATCTAAAACAAACACAATAAATATTATTATTAAACACTATGTCTATTTTAATAATTAAACAATTCGACCAGACAAATTTTGATATCAACGTTTAAAATTGATTTGTGTAACAACCGAAGAATAAACAATTTATTAAAATTTATTCAATTTAAAATGATAATTTTTGAACAATTTATTGATATTGAAAAAATATCAATAAATTATTTCAAAATAAAAAAACGAAAGATTTTTTAAATGAGTAAAAACTAATTATATTACAAATAATATTCATAATTTTTTGTGTATTTCTAATGAACAATTATCAAAAATCATTTTTATTATATGAAACTTTTAAATCTTTATTTTTATTTTTAGTTTTATTGAATAAATAAATGAAACCGATAATTATCAACATTGGTTTCTTAAATAATTATCGCAGAAATTGTGGTATTGTAACGTAAGGATTAACAAAAGAAATAAACATTTTGGTTATAAAAAAAATGACGTGGGTAATTGGAATTGTAATTTTAAAAAACTATGATAATCAACAAAAAGATAAAACGTTTATCGTGAAATATATATATAAAACAAATTTATTCTATTATAATCAATTGAAAAAACATAAAGTAAACATACAAAATGTTGTACATTTATAACTTTGATTGTAATTTTTATTAAAATTTGAAAATTTATATTTTTTAAAAAAATATCATTATATTAAAGTTTCATTTATATTTAAAGTTTTTGATTTTTTACATAAATTTTGTTTAAACGTTATAAATGTAATTTAGTCAACCAGACAACGTTTAAAACATCATTGAATAGTTTAATTCAATGTCAATAAATTGCATTTTGGATATTATTAATAATTTTAAAAACAAAATGGGTATTATAAGAATCCAATTTGGTTTAAAAATCAACAATTTGTTTGAAATGATTATTATAATATTATTATATAAAAACAAACAGAGTATTTATTTATATTAACATTATATAATACTAAGAAAAAACAGATGCTTGAAAAAGTCATGTGTAAATTAAAAATTGATTATTTTTATTATTTTGATTTGATTCTTATTGGTGTATAATTATTAAATTTGTTTAACGTTTTAAAATGAACGATAATTAAAAACATTTAAGTACCGTTTTGTGACTGTACAAGTTTTTTATGGTTGGACAAATATTATTCAATTGTTTTTTGAATAATTTAATTTTTTTTACTATTTTAATATTAAAACAAAGTTGTTATTTTTTTAGTTTGCTTATTAATAAATTTTTAATATAATACTGGTGATTCCGGAATCGGTTCGGGAACCGTCGTGTTCTGGAATCAAAAGTTTGGGAATATTTTTTTTATGAAGTTCGGGAACTTGTGTGTTCGGGAACTTATTGGTTCGGGAACACACCAATTTTAAGTTTGGGAATCAGGATGTTCCCGAACCGAGGTTAAAAATATTCCGGAATATTTTTTGATTCCGGAATCGGTTCGGGAATTTGATAAAAAAAATAAAATTCCCCAAATATTTTTTTATTGATTCCTGAAACTTCTGATTCGGGAATCAAAAATATTTCCCAAATGTTTCAAGAAAAGCCGATTCCGGAATCGGTTTCGACTACACTACAACAAACAAACTGATTGACAATTTTCAATTAAATTATTACTTATAAATATGGTAATTATATGATTTATTAATAGCTTTGATAAAATATACAAAAAGATTAAACAATAGAATGCACATAAACGTTGTAGTTTTGTTTCAAACACTATGTTTATGCAAAATTGATGAACATAATCGTTTAACTTATTTTCTTACGAACAATAACTCTTCTGTTCGATGAAGTATTGCAAGTTTATAAAACAAACTAATTTTATCAACAACACCAAGTATTGTGATTCAATGTTTTGTTATAGTTCATTTCATTATATATTTCTAAATTAATTTGGTATATTAAACCACTATTTAATGTTTGGAAGTGATGAAAAGCAATAATAAATCAATTTTAACAAGTAATCGCAAGGTGACAGCTTTGTTCTGGTTGATTTCTATTTAATTATGTTAAGAAAAAGTATGGTTTATAACAAATTTCATTTTAACAAGTTAATTATTATTTTATTGTTATTAAACAATTTCTAATATTTTATAATATCATCAATTATAATTAATAGTTTTATTTTTATAATATAAATATGATAATAATAAACCATTTATTTGTATACTATGCATTTTAATATTTTATAGTTTTGTTGTTAACTGTCGTTTTGAAAAAACGACCGCGGCAAAAAGTCGCCATCTGTAAAGAAAAGGTTTTAAAGATCACAAAAACAAACAACACTATAAATTTTACTAAAACTACTTTATTTTTGGCACAAAAACAAAGAAAATATACACCTTTTCATTTTAAAATGCATTTTGGGGACAAGTTCCAAATTTTTTCCTATTGAGTGATCCTGGTTACAATTTCAAACATTTTGGATCAAAAAACAAAACTCAAAAATGTCACTTTTTGATTAATTATAATAAATTCATATTTTTTAAACAAAACATTGAAAAATATAATGGCAAAATAAATTTATTGTTTTTGATTGCTGATCGATATATAAATTAAACTATGAAATCCCATATATGTTCTAGATGAACTTATTTAAATATTGTCAATTGTTATTCTGAATGATATATAGATGTATTATATATTATTAATCAATTTTACATTGGTATTAAAAGTCCAAAAATTTGTTAAAATTAATTAATATAAATTGATTTTGTTGTATTCTTGTGTTATTTAACTCAAAAACAACGTGCTCATTATAAAATTCTAAAATATTATTATTTGTTCGAATGTATGACGATTTTCATGCAATGATTGACGAATAACATGAAAACATTACAATTAAAATTGGGTTTGAAGTTTTTTATGAGAATGTTAAATTATATTTATTTTTATACATTTAAAATATTTATAATAATTAAATAGTTTATATGTATTTCATTAATTATTTACTTAAAACACATGTTTGTTATAAATACATTAAAATTCACTCATTTAATCAATCAAACGATAACTTTTGTTTCATAAATCATGAAAAATGAAACAATGAATAAATAATATAAAGTATAATTGTTTTAATATTTATTTAATATATCTGTTATATAAAAAACAATTAAAATTTAAAGTATTAATACGTTTAACTCAAATTTTAATTTTAAAAACGATGATTCTATTTGTAACAAACACTTTGTTGTTTCTTTTGACGACAACTGTAAATTGTGCCACAACGTGTAGTGGTGGGCAGTACCTTTCTGGAACGTCTTGTTTAATTTGTCAAGCGGGTACTTATTCCTCTGGAGGTACACCAACTTCATGCACTTCGTGTTCAGCGGGGACGTATTCTGCAACTGGATCTTCTTCATGTGCAAAGTGTTCAGCTGGTACATATTCAATCTCTGGGTCTTCTGGATGTAACAAATGTAATCCAGGTACTTACAATTCTTTTTCTGGGTCTGTATCATGTTCAAGTTGTTCAGCAGGGTATTATTCTAATAGTGGTGCTTCTTCATGTAATTCATGTGGTGCTGGATATTATTCATATAAAGAATCTTCAGCATGTACTCCATGTTCAGCTGGTACATACTCAACGTCTACGGGGTCTTCTACATGCACAAAATGCAATACTGGATATTATTCTATATTAAAATCATCAAGTTGTACAAAATGTAAAGCAGGGACTTATGCAGATGAACAAGGAAGTTCGGAGTGTAAAACGTGTGCAGATGGGTTTTATTCCACATCTGGAAGTTCGGTGTGTGTACAATGTGTTTCCACGAGTTGTGCGGCATGTTCAAAAACAACGGGGGAGTGCACTTCATGTAATGTTGGCTATTCGTACGATTCGTCAAATAAAAAATGTTCGATATGTCCCGCATCGTATTATTCGAGTGGTGGAACTTCGTTGTGTTCAAAGTGTGCAACTGGGTATTATTCGCTTGGTGGTTCAAGTGGGTGTACAAAGTGTTCAACAAGTTGCAAAACATGTGACCAAACAAATGGTAATTGTTTATCTTGTTATGATGGTTATACTCTGAACAACGGTAAATGTGAAATTTGCCCAGCTGGAACACTCCAAAGTGGTAGAGTTTGTGTAACGTGTCCCGACATGCAATACTCGTTGGCAGGAAGCACAATATGCAGAAGTTGTAGTCCAACGTGTTTGAGTTGTGATAAGACAAATGGGTATTGCACGTCGTGTGATTCTGGTATGGAAATAATAACTACAACATGTTCTGTGTGCAGTGCTGGCACATACAATATTGCAAACAAATGTGAGTATTGTCTACTTGGAACATATTCATCATCACCAAAGAGTTTGCAATGTAATTTTTGTGGAGATGGGACTTATGCCAGCACACCAGGATCAACAAATTGTATAATGTGTGATGTTCTGTGTCAAGGACCATGTGAAAGAACAAGTGGCAAATGTGTAGCCTGTGTGAGTGGTGCTGTTCTATCGAATGGAGTGTGTTCACTGTGCATTTCAGGAACAATGGCAAATCAAACAACAAATAAATGCGACACATGCAAGGCGGGTACATATGCCGGTGAAGGCTCTTCTGAATGTAACAGTTGTGGAGAAATGACATACTCAACTGCAGGTTCGTCATCATGCCAACAATGCGACAGTCGTTGTGATGGGTGTGATGCCACTAATGGGTATTGTGTCAATTGTGTGACTGGGTATGGTCTTACAGTTGGGAAGTGTGCCATATGTCAAAAGGGGACTTACTACATGAGGTCTGTGTGTCAGAGTTGTGGTGAGATGGAATACCAAGACGTTGAGGGACAAACCACCTGCAAGTTGTGCGACTCTTCATGTGCAAGGTGCAATGCAACAAATGGAAAATGTCTCACATGTGCTGCTGGATACGGCTTTGACAGTGGAGTGTGTACGTTGTGTGGCGACCTTACATACTCAGAAGGCGGCATTATGCAGTGTCAACAGTGTTCGACTGAATGTAAAAAGTGTGACAGAAAAAGTGGTGCATGCACATCATGCGAAGTTGGCAACAAGAGAGTTAACAACAGTTGTGTGTCATGTGCTCCATATGGGTATTGCGATTTGTGCACAGACGAGACATCAGATGGTATTTGTGTATCATGTGAAGATGGATTTTATTTGAATGAAAGTGCCGACTGTCAACCATGTGGTGATATTCACAAAGACTGTCTGACGTGTTCTAAATCAACTAAAATGTGTTTGTCGTGTGCAGGCAACATGATATCGACTGGCACCAGTTGTGTTGAGTGTGAAGTTGGGATGGTCAAAGTCACAGAAACGACGTGTGACTCCTCGTACAATGTCATCCCAAAGTGTCAGATCGCAGACTATGTCAACAATCAACACATTTGCACTGCATGTTTTGCGCCATACGTCACTTCAAGTGACTCCAAGTCGTGCAATTTGGGATACACCACAACGACATACTTCAACACAAATGATCACCAATCACACACCAACATGGATGGGTGTATCAACCAAATAGATACAACATGTTACTTGTGTGATACAAAAACGATGTTGTTAAACGCAGTTTGTAATGAAAAGAAGGAAAAGTGTGAGAAAAACTCGCAACACGGCTGCGACAACTGCGTTTTAGATGTGATCACTTCGAATGGCAATTGTACCAACATCACCGATTGTAAATACGAAATCAACAGAAAAAGTGGAGCCGAGTGTTTGTATTGTGTTGATGACGTGTTGTGTGGCAAAGCAAAACAAAATTGTGAAACATCACACAACGAGTACTGCTACTTAGCAGTGAGTGGATATCACACAACAAACGATAACACTGTTGTACTCTGTGAGAGTGAATATTGTGTCATTTCAGATGGAATTGTTACTGATTTGAAATGTCTGGATGGCAAAGTTTTGATAAATGGCGTGTGTACAACTAATACAGTGTGTATAGCAATATCGTATGGCGATTGTATCAAATGTGATGCAAAACAACACCTCTCACAAGGAAAATGCTTATCAAACAGTGCAAAATGTGACAATCAGAATGGAGATATTTGCATTGTGTGTAACAACACCATCAACGTTGATGGTGTGTGCACAGACACCCAGTCAATTCATTGCTCTTTGTTTGACAAAGTGTGTGTCACATGTGAAAGTGGATATTACAAAGACGTTGATGGCTGTAAAGAGAAGACTGGCGTTTTGTCTAATTGTGGTGTTGTCTCGTCACTCAACACCAAATGTGTCGAGTGTGAGTCTGATTACATTTTCAATGGATATTTGTGTGTGCAACAAACACTTCCAAATGAGACCACCAAACAAACAACTAAAAACGAAGACACACAGACAGACAGCCATTGTGAAGTGAGCACCACAAAAGGGTGTCTAAGGTGTTTCGGTGGGTATTACCTCTCAGACCGCATGTGCGTGAAGTGTGAGTACCCCTGTGTCTACTGTTTGAATCAGACATTCTGCACAAAGTGTGACGATTACTCGTATGCAAACAGCAACGGCGTTTGCACTGAAATCAACGCACTTGTTGGTGTATGTGACGTGTTGATGTCAACATATCGCGGGTGTGTTGTCTGCAAAGATGGATATATGCGATCCTCTGATGGCACAACGTGTATTAATTGTGATGAGTCGTGCAAGTCGTGCACGAACGAAGGAAATTGTGTTGTATGTAATGAGGCATTCTATCGCACGTCATCGAATGTCACCAAACTGTGTTCGCCACAAAGCGAGTTGACTTCGTGTGCAAACAGAACAACAACTGGTTGTATGCAATGCGAAGGTGGACACTATCTCGCCAATAGTTTGTGTGTGAAATGTAAAGACACGTGTACACAATGTTATGGTATCAATGAGTGCACCGACTGTGTAAAAGACAATGTACTTGTGTCAGGTGTCTGTTCACATTACACAACCATTGAGAACTGTGTTGAGTCTGCCAACAACAAATGTTCAAAATGTGATGACAACTACAAGTTGAGTGACGACATGTTGAGTTGCATTCACATCACAAATTATGGGGTTGTTTTTGGTATTCCAATCGTCTCTGTGTTCATTATAGTACTTATTATCGTTGGTATTATAATAATTACAATAATTGTTTTGCAAAAGCGCAAAGAAACAAAGAAAATGGAAAACATCTGTGTCTTTGAAATGAGTCGTTCAAACATTGCAATGAGTGTGTTAGACGGCAACATTTTAACAAACAAAAAGTCGCTGACATTTGATGACACATGTGAAGTCATTCCCGTTGAAAAAGAGTCTCGCGAACTCCTCTGTGTTGGCAACAAAGGCAAAGGCATTTTGAAAGTCCAAATGACAACACGTGGCGGCTGTGACAAATACTCAATTCGCACCGAGCCGCAATTGGTGACGCTAAAGAAAGGTATGGCGTGCGAGTTTGAAGTGTTTGTAACACCACACTGCTCACTGAAATTACACGACGAGATGATGATAGTCACCATGAACATCGAAAATGGCGAAACTTTGTCTGTTCCAATTGCCATTGAAATCACAACAGAAAACTCGACTAAATTGGATTACGACGAATTAAAAGAAGACAAGAAACTTGGGGAAGGTTCGTTTGGAATAGTCTACAAAGGAAGTTACAGAAAAAATGTTGTTGCTATTAAAAAATTGAAAAATTCAACTTTTGATGAAAAAGCTTTTGAAGAATTTGAAAAGGAAGTCAGTATGTTAGACAAATTTCGGTGTGATTATATCGTCCGTTTCTATGGCGCTGTGTTTATACCAAATCAGATCTGTATGGTCACCGAATTTGCACAATATGGCAGTCTACAAGACTTGATCAAACACAGAAAAAATGAACAAATTCCGCCAATGAAAATTCGAGTTAAAATGATGATTGATGGAGCAAGAGGGATAAATTATTTACATGAGAACGGGATATTACACAGAGACATCAAACCAGACAACATTCTTGTTATTTCACTTGACTTGAATGAGAAAGTGAATGCTAAATTGACAGATTTTGGGAGTGCCAGAAACTTAAATTTACTGATGACAAATATGACATTCACAAAAAGTATTGGAACACCAGCATATATGGCACCTGAAGTGTTGAATCAAGATAAATATAAGAAGGCCGCGGATGTCTATTCTTTTGCTATTACTATGTACGAAATTTTTGGGTGGTGCGAAGCATATCCAAATGACACGTTCAAATTTCCATGGAAAATCGCCGAATTTGTGATTCATGGCAATCGACTGAAACGCAAAGACCCAATTAAAAAAGAACAATATAATATAATCAGTTTGTGTTGGTGCCAGGACCCTAAAAGTCGTCTACAAATTGAAACAATTGTGAATAAACTTGAAAGTTTATTTTGATCATAATTTATACTTTGTTTTTTTTGCGTTCAAATTTTATATTTTAATCAGTTTTTGTCAATTTTGTGTTAATAATTTTTTTCAATAATTTAAAAAAAAATAAATGATACATCGTAGCTATGTTTTTTTTGTAAAAACTTTTGTCGTTAAAGAATTGCAATATTTAGAAAAAACAACCATAAAAACACATAATCAATTTATTGTTATAAACAATTAATAGAAATCAAAACACTGCTGTAACAATAACACGAATTTTCTACATAATAAATAAATAATTTCATATTGACAACTTAGACAGTAGAATTATTGTTATATTGTGTGATCTAAAATAATATGAAAAAATACAAACTAAATTATTATATTTTTTTTGTTAAATTATGTTTAACAGCAACACAACCATTTAATCAACCCAATTATTTGTATTTTAAAAAAAGCCAATGTAGTCATATTTGTTCATTTGGTTAATTTTGTGAATTGCTTTTCGTTCAGCATTATGTGTTTTTTTAAAAAAAAGTTAAAAATAAATAAAATATTGGAATGTTAGACATCCAACAAATGATCGATGATCATAGAACGTATTTAACAACGGAAAACAAAACAATATAATAAACAAATTTGACTCGACTGGTATTAAAAAAAAGACAACTAATAAAATTTTAATTAACAGTTTAATTTTTATAATTTTTTTTATTTTATTTTATATTATTAGTTAATTTTTTGGTTTTTGAAATTAAACCAACATATTTAATCAAACCGTAATTATTTGTGGTTTTTACTTTGACAAGTAAAACTTTATACAAAAAACAGACATTAGTTTAATGCCAGGTTTATGATTTAGGTCCCTCTATCTTTAGTGTTTATTACTAATTATTTTGTTTATTTTCTGGATAATATTGGTAAAAAAACAGAATATTGTGTGCAAAACGACGTGGCACAATCAAGTTATTCCACTTCTGACTGCTTGTTTTACCACATTTCAAATATTTTTATTTTTAGAGTAAATACTCAACTATTAAACATCACCCATTTTTTTAAAAAAAACACAACATATTCTAATTGAAATGTTGTTTTTGAAATATTCAATATTTTTTAATAAAAACTAAAATTGCAATTAATCAATGACCCACCTTGAGAACATTTTTCTTAAAAACGTTGTGTTGTACCTTGAAACTTTGAAAGATATCACCAACTTTATTTTAATAAACAAATCGTGTTTTTCTGTTATTCAAACCATGTACACTAATACATACAATCTGTCTCTTCATTCCTCTATTGATGACATCCTTTTCTTTTTTCCTAAATTGGAAACCTTATATTTCCGTGCTGTGTCGACACGTCTGAGAAAGATGTCGAGTAATGATATTCCTCTCATCGAAGTAAATGCCAAACAAATTTCATCCAAATTTTCACAGACTTTAAAAACAAAATGGTTTCCTCCCAAAGTGCGGAAGATGCGCATTTTGTGGAATGAAATAGACTCCGTTGCGAAGAATAAAGACAATTTTGAACAACTTCAATTTTTATTTATCGACTACACAATGACTGCAAAAGAAGAAAATTCGCTATTTGAAGTGTTGCAAATTAAAACACTAAGAAAAGTGTATATAATATTTACTACTACAACTCTTCAAACAATCAATAAATTTAACTTCTCTGAACGAAAAGAAGTGGAATTTACACTAGTTGTGTTGTTTTCAAGTTACACTTATGAAGTCGTTGAAGTTGATGCACTCAAAAAGATGCCAAATAACGTCAAAGTGTTTGCCAACTTTCTTTCCAAAGAGACGAATTCTCTCGAGTTTCTGCCAGCACTGTCGTGTATTCTTAACAATTATACAATAAACCAAGATGATAAAAACAAATCGATAACCGTGACCTCAGACGTTAGTGGAAAGGAAGATTTAATTTACGAAAAGATGGAAAAAGGACTTTTAACGACTTTGGATATTATGGACCCAAAAACTCTACCAAAGTGGGACGTGACGTTAAACGCGTACATCCAACCAAATCAAACAGAAAAACTCCAAGCAACTTTTAATTTCCAAAATCAAATCAATTTCGATTTCATTGAGGCGGTCAATATTTTAAATGTTGACGCAAAAGACTTGGTGTTACCACGACTACTCAAGAAAATTTCAATTATTGATTGTACTGGCAAAATTAACATGAAAAACTGTCGAGCGGAAAGTATCACGTTAAGAAATTTCGTTGGAGAAAGTCTCGAATTTTCAGACGAAAAATTGACAAGTTTTAAGTGCGACAACTCAATTGGAAGGATTCTATTTAAACACAATGGTGTGATATATGAAGGAAAGTTCGTTGCAAATTTTTCAAAATATATCAATTTTTCGATTGCAAATGGGTTCATTACATGCGATATTTTAATTGAAAAAGATGGTAAAATAGTCGATAAAATTGTGTGTACAAGATGTTGGTACACAAATACAGAAACAATCAACAGTTTTAGAGTTGAAAATTTTACAAATGGGTTTGACCTTTCAAATGAAAAAATTGACCAAATTCAATTGGTTATGAATCCAACACAAAATTCATTTTCTAAAAATCTAAAATTTGGAAACTTAAAAAAAATTAATATAACGGCCGGAAATATTAAAACTGTAGAATTGGGGGTGGTTGGAACAATTACTGTAGTAAGTTGTAAAATCGAAAATTTGATTATAAAAAGTGCAAAAACATTTACTTATAAAAATTCAGTTTTTGAAAATGTCAAAGCTGAAAAAATTAACAAAATAAACGGAACAAAGAAAAACATCATAAATCTCAAAATTGAAAAATAATAATTTATTTCTTTTTTACACACATCAATTTTTAAAAAAGTTGATTTTTCATTCAATAAATTAAAAAATTATTAATAAAGTAACTTCATTGTCATGATAAATTGAAATAGTTTTAAGCTACAAGTTAGTAAAAATTAAATCATTAAAGAGATTGTATTTATACAAACAAACAACAAAAAAATTACTAAAAATATTTCTTTTTTTCAAAAGTTAATTTTTTTGTTAAATATAAATCACACAACCAACAATTTTAAAATATTTAAACAAGTGATTTAAGAGCACTGATAATTTCGTTTATTTTCATTCTTTCATCGGGTTCAGCACACCACGCCTTTCGAATGATATCAAATTCTTCAGTTGATATATTATCATCTTTTTCAAATCTATTTCCATTTGACACAAAGTCTGCGATACACCACGCAAATTTAAATTTGTCTTTTGAATAAGCTTCCCTCCATTCGAATGTTTCATACATAGTTATAGCAAACGAGTATATATCAGAAGGCATTTTATATTTTTCTTTTTTGAAAATTTCAGGCGCCATGTAAGTTGGTGTTCCAACACCTTTAGTAAATGTCATATTTGTCATTAATTGATTCAAATTTCTAGATGATCCAAAATCAGTCAATTTCGCCAGAATTGGTTCATCTGTATCGTAACTAAAAATCAGTAAATTTGCCGGCTTAATATCTCTGTGTAAAATGCCGTTGTTGTGCAAATAAAAAATGCCATTTGCCATATCTAATATAAATTTATGCAGAACCTTTTTATTTGGTTTTAAGTTTGGGTCATTTTTGGTCTTTTTGATTAAGTCATTTAAACTCCCAAATTTCGCAAATTCTGTGACCAAACAGATTTTTTTTGGAGTGAAAACGGCGCCATAAAAATAGACAATATACTCACTTCTAAATTTGTCAAGCATTGCCACCTCATTGGCAAATTCTTTTGTTGAACTTTCATCAGTACACCCATTTTTGAGTCGTTTGATTGCAACGACACTCCCTCTAAAAGTGCCTTTATAAACAATTCCAAAACTTCCCTCCCCAAGTTTGTCGCTTTCTAATAAATCCGAGTTATTCAATTTTGTTGTCAAAATTGTTTTTGCTTTGATTTTTATTTTGTTAGTTGTTTGCTCCCCTTTTTTTATATCAAGCGAAATGCACAATATTTCATCGTGAATTTCACAAGTACACGTGGGGTTCAAGAATATTTCAAATTCACACGCTTCATTTTTCTTTAATGTGACGAGTGGAGGAACTGTTCTGATATTATACAATTCACAATTTGCAATCACACTTAATTGAATCTTTAAATTATTTTTTGAAGTATTGCCAATACACAAAAGTGCACGCGTCTCCTCCGACACCAGTATATCAGTCATTTCTCCACAGTCATTTAAATCATTTTCAAATATCAGTTCTGGTAAATTGACAACCAATTTTTTCGATATTTTGGTAAATTTAATGTTTGATTTTTTCATATTAAATACACACACTTTTTTCTTTTCTTTGTTTTTCTTGTGATTTAATTTGATTAAATATACAATTAATGTGCTTGTAAGTGGTATAACAATTACAATAAAAATTGATACAACTGTGACGGAGATAATCAATATGTAATTTGGTTGATCAACACAAGTAAGACCATCATCTGATGGTTTTCTATTACCTTCACATTTATCACACAAACTGTTTTTCTCAGAAACACAATATTGTACGACAGAGAGTGGGTTGCAGACTTCATTGATTAATATGAAATTTGACTCACAAAGTGAACAATATTCTTCGGATATACACAGTGCACAATTTGAAGAACATTTTATACAACGAGGAACTGTTGTACCCAAATAATACCCACCAGCACATAACAAACATCCACTTTTACTTTTCTTCACACAATTTGTCAAATCATCATAACTTAAACACAAAGGTGACTCTCCTGGTATTTGAAAGTAATTGTCTGCACAGGACAAACATTTTGTTACTTCTTGGCAAGTCTCACAAGAAATATCACATGCAACACAATCCTGTCCTTCTTTGAAATATTTATCTTTACAACTGACACAGCCAGTGTTTGATGGCATCATTACTTGACATCTTTTAGAAAGCTCGCTTGATAATTCACACTTGTTGTTTGAGTTCAAAAAAGTGGTATCTTTGTTGCAAGAAAGACAGTAAGTTTCATTTTTACAGGTCAAACAGTTGAATTGGGTAGTTTCACAAGAAACACACTCGTTTTTAATAGTCAAATAATACCCATCAAAACACTTCAGACACCCCTTTGATGATGACACTTCACACGTGTTGTCTTCATTTGATAATTTTAAATTTGTCATTTTGTTTTGAAAAAAAGAACAAGTGTTGTTAAACAGTGTGCATATTTCTTTGCATTCTAAAACGATTTCCGGGCCATTTTGAATAGAAGCTACGTATTTTATTTGTTCGTTTTTTTCTGAAGTACAGTAAGTGAACATGTTTCCTTGTGTTGTCAAATCTCGATAAAAATTTGGATAGCAAATTGTACATAAAATCCCATTTGATTTTTCGCAATAAAAATATTCAATTTCTTTGCAAATTCCATCTGTAACTAAATAATTCTCTTTGCACTGCAAACAAACATTTTGTAAATATTTTACGCAATTATCAATTTCTTTTAAAACGCAACGGTTTTCTTGAATGTAATAATGTGATGTTTTATCACATTTGACACAATCATTAGTCATTGTAGTTACACACTTTTCATCAACAAAACAAGTCGTTTCTTTTTGATCATAAAGTCTGCTTTTTTCGCACTGAATTGCTTTTAGAACTGATACCCCTTTTTCATTTACCAAACAACATTTATTTATCATATATTCAGAGTTTTCTAAACATTGCTTACATATGTTTTCATTGCTAAGATAATCATATACATCGCAAATATAAATTATGTTATTTCGTAAATATATATTTGAATTGTCAATTATTAAAGACAAACAGTTGTTTTCAGTTGTAAGCGTATAATTATCTTCACAACTTAAACAATTGGAAATGTTATAAATCCCATTTTGAATATAATATTTACATTTTTCTTGTCGATTTCCACAATTTTGCTTAATTGAAATACCATTTGAACAATCTTCACATCCTAATTTGCCTTTATTTAAACAGTGAACATCGTCACTATTTGAAATACATTCCAAATTTTTTAAATAGAAATCTTTTTTACATTGTATACACTTTAATTTGTTTATTCTTTTATTACATTTCCCGTCATTAAAAATACAAACTCCTTTATTATAATAATATCCATCTTGACATAAAGTACACGTTTTATTTTCTGATAGAACATATGGTTCATAGCATGTTTCACATTTTGGATTAAAAAGTATTTCGTCTGAATTTTTGCATATTTTGCAATTACCATTAAGTTGACTTGTAAAGCATCTTGAACACGTGTCATTTCCACTCAAATAAAACCCACTTTTACATACACACACTTTATTTTTTACTTCAAAATTTTCAGCACAAGCAGTGCATCCCATAACAACATCACACGTGTTATCAAGACAGTTTATGTCGCAAATTTTACATGTTCCTTTGTCCAAATATTTGCCATTTTCACAACTCAAACAATTTGTTTTGTTTGTACCACATGTTTTACAGTTATCATCACATGGGAAACAATTATATCCAGATATGTAATAATTAGAATTACTACATTGAGTACACCCATCTTGATGACAAAATCCTTTTGCACAATTTATACATTGAAGGCATTTATTGTTAAAAAAATAAAAATTACCATCTTCACAAGATGTACAAGTTGTTGATAAATACTCACAAGAACGGCAATTTGTAGAACACTTTCTACAATTATTATTATCGAAATAATATCCAAATGGTTCACAAGAAAAACATATTGTTATATTATCTGATATACAAGAAGTACAACCTTCATTACATTGAACACATTTTCCATTTGAAAAATGATACCCCTCAATACACGAGGAGCAGTTTAAATCTTGTGGTGTTCCACTGCATGTAAGACAAGTTGAAGGACATGCACGACAATAATTTTTGTAAAGGTAATATCCATCAAAACAAGTTATACATGTTGTCAAATCTTTCAGACAAGATTCACAATTATTTGAGCATTTATAACAATAATAGTCATTAAAAGTATAACCCGATAAACAAGAATAACACTGTCCTACATTTGAATCATAGCATGATTGACAACCATTCGCACAATCTTCACAATAATAACCGTTCTGTCGAAACCCGGTTAAACACGAAAAACAATTTCCGTTCAAAGTTCCATTGCAAGTTGCACATCCAGAATAACATGAGACACAATTACCATTCTCTTTGAAATAACCTTCTTTACATAATAAACAACTTCCATTTTCAAAATTTGTACATTTTAAACAATTTTCTGCACATATATGACAGGTTCCGTTTTGTAAATAATAACCACTTTTACATGAAGTGCAACTTGCAACTAATATACTTGTACACGACACACAATTGTCGTAACACGGATAACAAAAATTTCCACTTTGAAAGTAACCATCTAAACAAGATAAACAATTTCCATTTCCGTTTTTATCGCCAATACATGTTTTACATCTATCAGGACATCTATAACACAAATTATCATAATAATAATAATTGGTGTCACAAGAATTGCAAGTTAACGTGTCATTGCAAGTAGTACAACCCTTTGGACATTTACGACAAAAATTCGACATTAGAACATAACCAGTAAAACAACTTAAACAATAATAAGGTTGTTGTGAATAACATGTTGCACACCCCCAAAAGCATTTGGTGCAGAATGAATTAATCTTGATATATCCTGGTGATATACAAGACTGACAATTGATATAACCAAACCCATTACATTTTGAACAACCTACAAAACAAGCGGAACATGAATATGAATCGAATTTAAAATATCCAGGAAGACATGTATCACAATGAATGATATCACCTGTGGTTGAACAAGAAGCACAATTTGGGTAATTTCCACATATATTTCCATCAAGAACGTTTTTGAGTGTTGTATTTTGAATCGTTTTTTGTTGGTGAAAAACATATTTGTTGTTAAAATTTGTAAAAAGCAAATTATGAGTTTGACCAGCAAAATCGATTACCAACAGTTGTGACGGTATTTTGCACTCAAATGTTATTGTTTCTGTTTTTAAGTTTTGTTGAAAACTCACTATGTTATCAGTGACACTCCACTCATAATTAAAAGGGCATTTATTGTTCTGATTGACACAAGTTATAATGGCTTTAACTTTACACCATTTCAATATCGATGAATTGACCAAACTAATTATGTTAAACAACAAAAGTAACACCATCATTATTTCGAATTTCAAGTTTTTTATCACATCATCATTTTGTAATTTAATGGCGGTTTATTTCTGATAAAAAATAAGGTGGTTGTTTGTACATGTATAATAAAAGATATTTTTTTTATATAATAATTCCTTTAATATTTGATTAGTTTTTTTACGTCTTAATTGAACAACAAATGAAACCAATTATTGTTGTATTTCAATTTGAGCTAACCGATTACAGATCGAGTATTTATGGGGTGCAAAATACTTTTTGGGGGCCAGAAAAATGAGTTTGGCACCCATTTTCATATTAAATAATTTCAAGAAAAAAAACAAATAAAAAACAAAAAATTAAAACCTGTAATTTTACATCAATCAATTCTCTACTTACTTGGCACCCATTAAGTTTCTGGCACCCATTAAATACTCTATCTGTAATTTACGTTATAAAAACGTAATTCAAAAAATAAAATTGCTGTAAATCACTATAAAAATTAATAACCATACTAAATATAGTGTATGTATTTTGAGTGTATTTTTCAAATTAAAAAAATGGATCGAGAATTGTTGAATTTTTGTAAAAAGAAAATTAATATAAAGTCATTCGCTTAATAAAGTTGTTAGATTTTTGAACTTCTTTAATCGTAATAATGTTAACTTGATATTATATTTTTGAATTGTAAACCGTTTTTTAAAAGTCTGTACTGAGGTGTCCCGAATTTTTGCATTTTTTTGTTTATTATTTTTGGGAATCGTTTTTTGTAATAAATTTTGATCATTTATTTGAAATAAAAAAGAGAAAAACAATCTTTTAAAAATATTTATTCAATTGAATAATTTTTAAACATAATAAATTGCCATATTATATTGAAATAACGGTTTTTTTGTTTCTGAAAAACACATGATTAATCCCAAAAGTGCATTTTATTATAAAAAATTGATAAAATAATTTACAATTATTTATGATGTCAAGCCTTTATTTATAATAAAATATAATATTTAACAAGCGCGAAATTATCGCGTAATTATTGATATACCGATCGTGTTGTCACAACAATACCTAGAATATAAAAACACAAAATTATTAAATATTTGCGTTAATTTATTTCTTAAGAATTCCTTATTTCATTATTTTCTAACCAAAGAAGAAAACCACATATTTGTTTTTAATTAAAAATGAAAAATTAACGAAAGTGATATAATGTTGCAAATTAACATTAACAACAACATCACAACTTACGAATATGTTCATTGTTGTGTAAATTGACCTACAACGTCGAGTTTGTGTTGCGAAGTATCGAGTTGTGGTCAAATCAAATAACGGGATCGTGTTTTTTTGAAAAGGCTGGCTAATATTCAGATAAATTCCCGATGTTGTACGAAAATAATTGAACGGGATTGGTATTTTTTTAAAAATAAAGTCAGAACTTTCGTTTTTTTGTTTTTTATTTTTTAGGAAAAATAAAAAATAAAAAACGGGACTTTAGGAAGTTCAAAAATACATTAAACACATAATGATTGACAACGAAAGATCAAAGAAATCAACACTTGGGCGCAACTCAACCTCTATTAACATTGAAACAAAACAAAGAAAATGGTAAGGCCAAAAAAGAAACAATGTACAAAAACAAACGATCGAATCTTTCAACAAACAAAAAGAAGTTGTTGGTTTCAAATCTTATTATAATTCAAATACACAAATATTATTTGATATAGTTGGTGGTAATGGTGATTTAAAAATGGAAGTTAATGAAAACAATAAAGTTTCAATTGGAATGAGTCATTTTTTAACGAGTAAATATTAGTCAAAAAACCAACAAAAATTAATTTGGTGAACATTTTAGAAAAAAATGAGGTTGTGTTGATTAATGGAATAACTTGAATTTTTCAATGATAATGGTGAAATTGAAAATAAAATTGTCGAAAGTGAAGAAAAAGTGAATTTTACTGACAATATAGTGACAATAATTTTTTTCGTTTATTGGTAAATTTAAACAGAGTAGATTTCGAAGAATTATTCAATTTATTATCATTGTCGAATGTTTTTGAAAGGTTCAACAGACACTTTGAAATTGTTTATTCTTTATATGATGATGATTGTACAATTAAGACATACCACAAATTTAGAAAGTAAAAATCATAAACCTAATATTTTTTGTTACTTTGTTGTTATGTCATATAAGAAAAATGTGAATTATTTGGTGAAACAATGTTGAAAGATTTTAACACTTAAAATAACGCCTTTTTTGTTTTGGCCTGGGATATTAATCAAAATTTTGATGATTTTCCTATTTTGGCTTGTGTATAGTTAATGCACATAAAACAAACTCTAAAAAACGGAAATTTATTTAATAAACTCGACATTTGCCCGATTTTTAGACCCTTTGAATTTTGTTCAATGTTATTTAAAGTGTTAATTGAAAAAAATTATTATTCTAAAAATAAATAATTTTGCTTACTCAAATGTTGTTAATGAGTAAGCTCTCCTTAATTTTTTTTGTTTATAATTAGAAAAAAGACCAATTATAAATCCAGTAAAAATTCTATCAGTGTGTTATTTTGACCAATAAATAGTAGCCTACACACTGATTGAATTTTTACTGTATGTAGATGCACCAAATAAAATAATGAGGAAATTGTGACTTAAAATTAAGAAATTGAGATGCTAATAAATTAAATTAGACCAATTATTTTCCTAACTGTTATTTATTTAAATGTAAAACAAAAATTGTAACTTAAATATTTTTGAATTTTAAGATTGTTTGTCTTAAATTACAAAAAAACTAACAATTAAATATTATATGGTTGTTCTTGAACTCTCGTTTTTGGTACGAGTTGTGCTCGAACTTCATTACAAAGAAGATTTGATTCATTTCTTATTAATAAACCACAAGTGTGAAGATGTTCTACATTCCTTAAAACTTACTCCACGATTTCGTAATACGCCGTCACTATTATGGTTTCTTGAACATTTTTCTCCCGACACGATTGCAGTTTTTTGTTTTGATGAAACACTTCTTTCATTTCTTCCATCTATATCTTGTATTCGTTCACCTGATTTAGAGTCTTTATATTCGTCTAATTCACTCACAGAAAACGCCATTCAAAACATCTTTCCAAAAATAGTTTCGATAACACTTGACTCGACAATACCGTCATTTGGTGACAACGAAAATGATTCAACAAAAGTAGCATCCATTGTGATCGCAAACTCATTACTTTTAAATCATGTTAACACTTTATATGGAGACTTGGCTTCAATAGCGTTGTATTTAGAGAAGTACACTGAATATGGAAAGTACAAGTATGTGCATCTTCCAAAAATAATTCACGCAAATTCTCTTCGTGGGTATGCAATGCTTTATAATGAAGAAATTGTCAATTTATTGCGTCGAATATTGTTGTGTGTACCAGACAACGGTACACATGACATTTCCATCGTTTTCTATCGGCAACTTACTTTAAAAGAAATAGAGAATTCTGGTGACTTATTTAGAAGAGTAAAATATTATTATATTCACGCACATACTTTGATGGGAGAGAAGTGGAATGAACAGATATATTGTAATAAAGGTAAAATGCGTATAGAAGGACAGATTTATGGTGATACAAAACGTGTTATAGATCACATCGTGGATAAAGTCTACCCATCTACTTTATTTCAACAACAAGTGAACAACATATATCAGAATGACATCTGGGAAATATCTAAATGCATAGAGACGTATATTCTGAGTCAATCACGTTTGAATGAAATGACTCAATTCCCAATTGATATGTCAACTGTAAAATTTGTGTTTCTAAATACAGTCTTCAATTTTGAGTTTACAAACAGCTTTATGTGTGTCGAAAAACTGTCAATTAAAGAGTGCAAAAATATTATATTTGATGAGAATTGTGCTCTACCGAAACTCACCAGTCTACGTGTTCTTTTATCAAATGATATCATTTTTAAAGGCAACTCAAACACTCAAATTGAATCAATTTTTTGTTACAATGTACAACAATTCAAGTGTACAAGAAAAATCGATCTAATCAGAAAAGTAATTTTATTGTATTGCAAAGATTTTGAAATGTGCGAATTGGATATTCCAAACACTGATATAAACACGCCAAAAAGTAAAGATGATAACAAATGCAATACAAATAATATAAATAAGAGTAGAAATATCTACATTGAATGCAGCGAAAATTTAATATTTTGTAATACAACTTTCAACCAAATTTTGATATTTGATAGTGACTCGACAGTTTCAAATGACTTAGATGACTTAAATGAAAAGACGAATTATTCGATGAGACGATTTGTTCCAATGACTGATGGCGTCGAAGTTGAAAATGGAATCATAACAGAAAAAATGCACGACTCAGAGACATTAGATATGGTCGTTTCTCGTTATTTGAGTACATATAATATTACAGATAACTTGGTTGTAAGAAATATCAACAAGAAAGAAGTTGACGTGATCAAAGGGATTAGTTATTTTGAAATAAGTGTGGAGGGGTATAGTGTCATTTCTATTGGATTAATAGACCAAATAAATTACAGAGAGTTTGAAGGAAGTCAAGTCGGGTGGAGAAAACACTCCGTTGCAATGCATTCCGACGACGGTAAAATATTTTTTGATGGCAAAACAATTGAAAATGTGAATGAAAAGAAATGTGCGTTTGCTTCTGTTACAGGCGTGAAGAAAACGGTGGGGTGCGGTTTTATTATGAACACTAAAGAAGCGTTTTTTACAGTTGAAAGTGAGCTGATGTGTAAAGTAAAAACTGATTTTACACTAGTTTCTGCTGCTATTGGATTTAGAATCACAAACCCAATAACGGTGAATTACGGAAAAAGGCCTTTTGTGTTTGACTTAAAAACCATCGACAAGGATATTTGAAATCGGTTTGATAATCATAAGGTATCAATTTTAACATTAATAAATGTTTTTCCTTAAATATTTATATTTTATTAATTATTGATTTAAAACGTTTTATCCCCAGGAAGTCACTTGTTTTTGCCATTTTTTTTTATTGCTGGAATATGAAAACTAGATTTTATACAGATCTTTTTGTAAATAAAAAAAACAAAACAAAACGAATAACAATAAACGTTTTAAAACGATTTTCAATGACTGCCCATCTTATTTTAATAATTTTGACACAGGCAAAATTAAGAATCTCACTCCCCAGTAAACATTATTTAACGCAAATTTGTTGATATCGTTTGTCTCATTAACAAACCTTTTGCAACATAACATTTTCTTTGGCAACAAGACAAACTGGTAGTAAGTATTACCATTTTATATAAAAATAAGAAAATACACACCAATAACCAAAACTTCTCTTTATGTTGATTAAAGGCGTAGTGTAGAGACTTTAAGCATCAAATGAGTATAATTTTAAAAGTTCTGTTTTTGTATAAAATCATCCAAAAACAATTTCAAAATTGACAAAACATCAATCTTTTTAGATAAAGCAAATGTCCATACTGTAGATGTGTTAAAAAAATAAAAATTTTTAATTGTTTTTAACATTTTATCATTTTTTTAATTTAGAGCAAAAAATCCCCTGACATGGCAAATTTATACTAAAACAAGTTTTCAAATCTCTTAATTAAAAACACACCCTTTTTTCTCAAAACAAACACGAGTTGAGCTATCGAAACTACTTAAATTGAGTTTTTCGACACTCAGAGGGATAACTACTTGTTTCAGCCGTTTGCAGTTAATAAAGCAATTATTATTGATAATTTTCACACTTTTTGATATAACAACATTTGTGAGTTTTTCACATCCATCAAAGCAGTTTTCTCCAATTTTAGTCACTCCAAATGGTATTTCAATCTGATTCAAATTTTTACAACCGTTAAAAGTCCACCTTTCTAATACTTCAATTCCACTTGGAATATTTATAGCACTCAATTTACTACAACTAAAAAATGCACCTCTTTCTAAGACCGAGAGATACTTTGGCATGGTGACTCTCATTAAATCAAAACATGCACCAAAACAATTGATACCAATAGATGTCACTTTACTTGGGATATCAATCTCTATTATCAAAGAACCAAAAAAACACGACTCATCCAAACGTGTCACACATGGCGGAATTTTTGAGCCAAAAACAGAGGCGTCATGGTTTGAAAACGAAACTCTTTTAAATACAAAGTTGTTTGTTTTGTTCATATCTACAACTGAATATGGGACTATGTACCACACATTTACTTTATAAAAATGCACTTGAGTGTTGTGTTGTATTGGTTCTAATGAAGAATTCAACATGTTTGTGTGTTCTTTTTGTTGATTTGAAGACATAAATGTGTTTCCAAAGTTACATTCTGACGAAGACCACAAATTGAGTGTTTCAATAGCTGGAAAGTGTTTTAATGTTTGATGTGTAATAGGTATTGGGTTAAAGTGAAACTTGGAAAGATTTGTATAAAACTTTTTGCAAACAGTTTCTAAATTGATGAAGTCACTTATCATTGAAAAGTATTGTGAAACTATCATTATGTGGTAACTATCAAGTCTTTTCATTGTTTTTTAAGTTCTTGGTTTTATTTTTTTTTAAAATAACATAAAATTAATTGAATGGATTTTATAAGTTGGTATTTATAATTACTTATTATTATTTAACTTAAAAATCAATTTAAATCAAAATCCAAAAAAATCATTAATAAATTGGGTTTTAATGTCAATAAAAACCCAATTTAATGTAATACTGATAGCGATAATGTTTGATGTCACCAGGAATTTATTATAAATATACTTTTGTCAAACATTCTACTATAACACATAATTAAAGTACCAAAAATTTATGAAAACTAGTATTTCAAATAAAAAGAATTATTAAAATTTAGTTCTTAAATAAAAAATATTTATCAAAAATTCAATTAAAAATTCAATTATTTCATAAAAGTAAAACTAATGAGATAATATATTGAATTAAGAGTTAGAAAATAATTAATTATAACACGTTTGCATATATCAATATATTTTTAATAGCACTAAAAAGCCAAAAAAAATTATATTATTAAGACAAATATTAAACATTATATTTAAAAATATTAAATAATTAAATTATAAATGTTTAAACAAAACACTAATTTGAAATAAACAAAACAATGCAAAAGAACTTTTAAAACAATAAAATGGACGATTACAAAGGCCCTATAGAAAAGTTTGTACTGTTGGGCGACACAAACACTGGTAAAACAGTTACTCTCACTGGAATTCGTGGTGATTTAAACACAAACACAATCAATACAATTGGCGCCGCGTTCACAGTTTGTTACATATTTATTGTGTTAAATACAATTTAAACAATAGACAAAATGGTTTTATGTTGACCGGATGTTTGTTAAAGCACAATTTTGGGATACTGGTTTGTTTTTTAAAATTATATTATATTCAAAATATTTTAAAAGTAAAGAATGAATCATTATAAATATTATATTTCATTCGAATTTTTACTATTTATTATAATAATAGTATATTATTTATAAATATCTAATATAAAGAGGTAATTATACTAAACAATATGTATTTTATTTAGAATTTAAATTTTGACATATTCTATTCAAAATATGAATAGAATATGTTTGTTTTTCGTTTAAAAAAATTTAAATTAATAAATAAGATTAATCAAATAGCCGGAGTTGAACGATATCGCAGTCTATTACCAATGTATTACAGGTTTGTTTGATTATTTGTAGTTTTAAAAGTGTCATTACATTAACATAATTAACATTATTGCGATTGATAGTTGTTATTAATTAAAAATACAATAATAAGATTCTAAAAACAATATAAATACATATTACGTGTTGTTATTGAAAAAAATATAAAATAGTATTCGTTATTTTAACAAATTCAATTGAAAAAAAATGATGTGTCTTTATTTATGTAATTGTTATTCAAAAACACTAGAATAACAAATTAAGCTCAACTAATACGAAAAAAAAATAATAATAGAAAATCAATAAACAAAATATTAAAATGTAATTTAAAATAACAAATGCAAAGATGAGAAAAAAATTAAAATAACACATTTAAATTAATTTGAATTTGACTATTTAAATTATATATTAAAATGATAAATAATTATCAGAGGAGCAAACGCCACAATTTTCTTTTATTCTGTAAATAAAAAGGAATCATTCCAACTTCTTGATCGACTTGTTAATGAAGTAAAAAACATGACACAAAATGGTAATTACATGAAATATATCATATGTGGAACACGAATTAATCTTACCAGTCTTCGAGTTGTTTCTATTAATGAAGCAAAAAAATTTGCAGAAGAGAATGGTTGTGTTTACGTTGAAATAGGAGAACAAGTCGACTCGTTGACAAATGTGTGATTGGCGAAGAGTTTGATTTTATTGATAATAAAAATAATGATGTACCACAGATCCTCAGAAAAACAGAAATACCCCAAAACAAAAAGTGTGATGTTGTTTAATTCTTTTTTGGTTTATTATTTAAATTCGTTTTTATGATGCCAACTGATAATATAATTTGTCATTTATGATTCAAAAACGTATTTGTATCATCACATTGAAAACGTAATATATATTTAATTAACATGGTTTTTGTTTATAATTGATTAATTTATAAAATATTTAATTAAAATGCATCACAAAATGGTCATACGACTTTTAAAACATATTATTTACACAAAAGGCTTACTCTGAAAAACGATTTCTTTAAAAATTCAATACAAAGACTTTTTGTTATGTTTTGTTTTTTAACTTTTCTTTACGAAAATATTATCATACAATAAAAAGTGTCTTGTTGTGGGTGACGTCTATTTGTAAGTCAATGGACCAATCTAATGCAAAACCCACAAATTATTATTTTGCTTTGGAACTTTAAATTTAGGTATACTTAAATAAAAATTGTAGTATTTTTATTATTAAAATATTCTAATATCATTAAAATCTTTTATTTTTAATGTTTAAAATAGTGAAAAGAATTTAAATTCACAATTCCATGATATACCCACAAATAAATATTATTCTCTGTTTAAAAATCCACAAATGGATGCTTTTTACTGTAATATTATTTTTAACATCTTATTTATTTTACATGTCATTTATTTTTTTTATTTATCGTTTACATAATAATTTTAATAATTAAAAGCGTTGTTTTATCAAGTTATTTTATAATTAATAAAAATGATCTATTTTGTATTTTTTTCAAAAATATAATTCAAAAATAATTTATGTTTTATATAAAATAAATACAGGTAGAGACAATCGGATACCGTTGTTTATTCCCCAAACGTTGTTCACCTCAGAATCTACTAAATAATGGCCAAATCTTCTATAAAAATTAAATATTAAAATAGAACATTAATAAACATACCAATAACATTTTCTTTTTCATATTATGTTTTACTTTTTCCAAATCAAAACGAAAATAAAACCAACAAAATCAGTTAGTTTAAATATCTTCTCGTTTTTTTTGTCGTAATCAACAAACGCCTTAGAAATTATGCCAAAATGACGATTTCTAGTTGAGACCGTTCAATCGGCGAGAGTTGGCTGGTTTAAAACTGTTGAGTTGGAGATGTGGAGGTTGTTCCGTCGGGTCGTTGTGGCACAGAGCCACTTCTAGTTTGTTAATTTGTGTTTTCAATTCAATTTAATACAAATAACAAACATCTTATGTTTTTTAGTTCAAAGATACTGTTTAAGTTCTCTAAAATAAAGGTAAAATTTTAAGTGTTTTGTTGGCTCTGTTATTCACTCTTTTTCCAATGATAAGTCTGTATTATTTAAAGGGTTTTTAATAGAATATTTTATAGTTTTGTTTATAATGTTATAATATTTTTATTTATCATTCAATTTACAGATAACATAAATATTGGGTGTCAAAGAAATATTAAGTGTCAACGCTCTATAAATAAAAATTCAATTGACTGTTTTGATTATTTATTTATTAATTCGGGATTTATGCGCCCATTTATTTTTAATTCATGGAAATTGGGTGTCAGAAAACCAAATCCCTTTGTTTTTTTTTTCTTATTTAGAAAAACTCTTAAATAAAAAAAACGAAATGACTTATATGAAAAAACTCGTTTTTACAATCATTGTCTACATTTTAAAGAACTCTCCAGTCTTCTTCACTAAGTTTAAAATACTCCAGAAGTGTCAAAACTTGTCCATCAAATCTATCATTTATTAAAGTGGTTTGTTCAATTCTACACATTTTTCTATCAAACTCTTAATATTAGAAAATGTTCTCGTATTATCTTCAAGCATATTTGACATAGTCTGGATGTGTTCGAGAAGAAGAGTATTATTTATCTTTCTTCGTCCTTGTTATAAATTTGACACATTAAACAACTTGACATCATCTGTTGGAACCATCAAAACGCTCATAATGTTTGTCATTGGGAATACATTGGTTTGAAAAAATAGTTTGTACTCTTCTATTAAACGACTTGCTGATCTAATGTCAACGTACATTTTAAAACCATCATTTTTAAAAACAAAAATAATACCTGCTCTTTTAAAAGAAGACACAATGACTTCATGTGTGGCTGAGATGTCCTTGCATTAATGATTTTATAAATTGATAATTTAAGTCTCTCACCAGTAGCGACTCTCTCTTGTTTGCCTTTGGTGGCATCTCTAGCAATGTTGCTCTCCATTGCAATACATTTTACTATTTCTTCGAGAGCTCCTCTCAAATTGATATTGGGTTCTTCTAAATCATCAATTGGAACAGTAAAAGCACTGTTGTTTATGACTGGCGTTCTCTTTAATGCAACTGAAAGAGAAGAACTTTCCACTGATGTACGGAAAAAAGGAGTTCTCATGTTGCTTTTCTTTTTCCAGACTCCAAACAATGCCAGGTCTAGCGGTTGAACAAGATGAGAGCAATGAGCAGTATATTTATGGAGTACAATGTGATACCGTTGCAGTTCTTTTTTGAGTGTATCAAAGTCATGACGGCTAAAACCATCCATAGTAATAACTGCAACAGTATCATGGGGAATCTTGAGAAGAAAACGTTTTGCAATGATGAACGGTACAACCACTGTAAACATCCATTCGACAAATATATCTTTGGTTGCGAACCCAGTACTACAATAAAAGAATGAGACGTCTGAATTAGATTTGATTAAATCTACGTTGATTGATTTATTGGCGATGATGACACCTGTGCAAACCAATGACCCATCCAAACAAATCATGCAAATAACAGTTAATCTTTTATTTGATCTTTCCACACTAATTTTGATATTTTCAATTTCAACATTGTCTGATACAAGCACTTTTACAGTTTTTGATCAGCAAAATCTTGAAAACCAATTTTGTCGACATTAAAAACAAATCGAGAATATGTCCCATTAAGTTGAGCTTATTGGATATAGTTTTCTACTACTTCAGTAGGATTAATTGACAGTCTCCCAATATCTTCCGGTTTTTTTGCCACTGACTTTAGTTTAAAGGTTCTGAGTACCCATTTTCTTATTGTTTCTTAGTTGAATTTTCTTTCTGTTATTATTTCTACCAATTTTTCAGAAGACGCCATTGTGAGGGCAAGCTTTTCTCTTGAACAATACTTGACACATGAATTTGTTATATACTCTGTTATATCATCAAAAAAACTTGGTCTTCCCACACTCCTACTACCCAATTTAAGTCTTCAGTATATTGTAATATCTCTTTCTGAACTACTTTATTGTGAATTCCAAACAATACTTTAACAACTCTATATGTAACCACTGGAACATTTCCATATGAAGAGTACAATAAACCAATCTGTTCTTTTCCAGATTTAATTTTGAAAAACAAAGAATCATACTCAAAAAAGTTTAATATCTCTTCGGCGTTTTTAATATCTCTCAATGTATAGTTTGTTTTGTTTGGTGAATTATTTTCATAATTGAATTTGGCACAAAACACAATGTTAACCATTTCTTCAAAACAATAAATTCAAATGATTAATTTTTTCACTTTTGTCGGTTTTGTAATTTCTGGATGTTGTTGAATAAATACAGGTGACATATTAATCATCAATTTTAAAGGAACGACGACATGAATAATTTGAATTGAAAATGGATTTGTGGGGAATGTTTTTTTTGGATCGATATTTGTTTTTTATTTTTTTTTATTTTTTTGTTTAAATTTTGTTATTTAAACAAATGTACACTTTTTGAAGTAAAAAGTCTGACACCCAATAATTATGCTATCTGTAATTATAAATAAATAAAGCGACACACCAAGTATTATATCAAATTAAAATTCAACTCCTATACATTTTATTGCAAATTTTATTCATTTTTTTTTATTTAGTTCCGTTATATTTTTTTAAAAATAAACAGTTAAAGGTTCAAAAATCTATTAGAAACTATATTTTAACTATAAAAATTCTTATAAATTAAAAAACTATCAGTTGTTGAATTTAAAAACTTTGATTTTTTGTTTTGTAATAGACCAAGTAACAAAATTAAAAAGTTTTAAACATGGTGAACTGATACTGTTTTTATTGGCCCACGCTATATTATACCATTTTATAGAAAACGTCCGTTATCATAAAAATAGAATAAATAAATTGAATTGAGTGTAATTATAAAAAAACCGTCTTTAAAAGCTATCATTTAATCGGCAAATATTGGAAATATTTATCCAATAAAAACTCCCCACATTGATTTCACAGAAAACATTACAATAAAACATTTTTTATAATAATAACTTGATATACTTGTATTTTAATATTTGGTATTCTCCACACAAAATAATCATTTTTTCGTGGTTTTCTGAATCCATCTTTTTCAAAATATTAAATATTGATTTAAATAACCCAAAAATACTTGTTTTCAATCAATTATTCAAACATAAACTTTTTATAATCAATACCATGATAATTCAAAACGTCTTTATTTCTAACTGAAGTATAAATCAGGTTTAATTGTCATTATTATTATTTTAAATAACAAAGTTGTATGGTTCAAATCAAGTGTTTATATTGATATAAAAATATAAAAAAACGACTTAAAATTGGTGACTTACTTTTCAATGGGTCTTTTAAACTTGTAACTTTTTGAACTTTTCATTTTTTCTGTCTTTTAGTTAGCAGACAACATCCAACTTTTTGAGGTCTTTTTCTCAATGTTTTGTTAATCTCTAAGCAACTTGAAGAATTTGGTATTGACACTGAATGATCTACAAAGTTGGAAATAAATGCATCAGTTTGGAAGCTTTCAACTTGATCATACGAAAAAAAAGCTGTTTTCAGAAATCACGAGTTTCTTCCATGTTAATCACAGTGTCTTCTTCGATAAAAGTTGACTTAATAGAAGTTTTTTATGTAACATCCAAAAGGTTGTGTCCAACAAACTCGAGACTGACCCTCCCAAAACTCCATCTTCATTAAAATCTTTCTACTTTAATTTGAATTTCTTTGGTCAGTTTATCACGTCTATCATTCTTTGACTTTGGGCTGTGTGTTTCTGCAATTATTTTTGCTTCACTCTCTTTCATAACATCAACTAAAAAGTCAACAAACCGTCCAAATTCTGGTTTTATTACTGGAACTTTTCTTGTTAACATACTGTGGAAAGATTCGCATATATTATTTGTCTTCATCATTGAGTTATGATGACACCAAATGTTGATCATATTTGTGTTCATCCAAGTTTCTTCGAAGTATTTATAAATTCTTTCAGATGATTTATTTTTTATTGTTTCCTCCTTTAATTCATGAAAGTGTGTAGAATAATTTTCAGCTTTCAAAAACCCCAAAACCATCAATCTCCTGATTTTTTTGCAAATTGTCCATTTTTATTATACTCTTCACCATACCCAAGCTTTTGGACGTTTCTCCAAATAGCTTGACAAAAATGGAAAAAGCACCCCTTC